TATATGTCATCTTAATGTTCTCATACATATCCAATTGTCCACCCATGGTTGCTTCTTTATTCCAATAATATAGTAATTCTAAATTATTCCATTAATTATTATACAACCCACTAAAAATTAAGGCATAAAAATGGATGCAAATCATACTATAAAAACATCTAATAAGAAATCATCAGAATAATCAGAAGTATATATAAATTAAAAGCTAAACAATTGGAAACAACAGTTTAATTTCATAAGGGATTTGTGGTCTCACCTTGATCATCATAACTTGGAAACATCAACCATTCATCAGGAGATGAGTTTTGGTCACTTTCATCTCCATCTCCAAGTTTTGAACTATCCTGGTGACCAAACCCCACCCTGGAATTTTCCATTGCATTATTAATTTTCTCTAAATGTGGGTATTTTGAATGTTCAACAATCTTGCCATCTAAAGTTTTCAGAAACCCTAACCACCAAGAATAAGAAGAAGCCTGGTTTTCTCCCCACTCGAATTCCAGGCTTTCCATGGCAGCCGGTGGCGCTGCAGAAATCGTAGGTGCAGTAGTTGACCATACGGGTTCCGGGAGAGGCATTGACTCCGTCAATGAATAATAACAACATTGTGAAGAACTTGCAACTTTTGGTATTGATGCTGCTGCAACTATACCTGTTGATTTTGTGGTCGATGTTTGTTTCATTGAAGATCTATGGAGCTGCAAGGCTTGAACAATCTCTCTTCTAGCTTCAGCCATGTTGATTATACAATCCTGAGGAACCCTTCTAGTATGAGACCTTCTTCTCATCGGCTTTCTTATAGAATTATTCTTCTGTGAACCAAAATTCTCCATGGCTTAATTAACAAGCTAGAGGTAGACAAATGGGCAAGTTAAGATCGAGATTTGAGAAATGATATGATGCGTAACAGTACTGGAAGTAAGTGGCAAAGTTGAAAGAGATGAGTCGTCAGAGAGATTAACATGTAAGGTGACACGTGGTAGGATGAATGGACACATCAAATGTTAATATATGAGAAATGTCATTGTCAATTATATAAAGTCCACGCCCGCCCACCGCTGCGGCTTTAAAGGCTGATGATGCTGATGCTGATGCTGATGCTGCGGCAGCCACCAGTAGGCATTAGCGCCACTCTGCAGTAGGCAAAAACTGAAGGAAGGTTCTGTTGATGATGGATTATTTTTTTCGAAGTACGATGGGATTGGGCTTGGGCATGGCATCTCAAAGACTGTCAAGATTAGGCATTTAAGTCTTACAACTATGTGTATTAAACAATTACAACCAAACATAAATGAGGAAATGATGTTTTTATATTTAAATTCATAGTCTCATTAATGCTTTAATACTTTAAAAAGCAGTGTAAGTTAGACAGCGAAAAAAGTGGATTCGGGTATAATTCACTCTTAAAAACTTGTTTATAAGTGAGGGAGTCCAACCACATATATATATACTATAACAGTTCATCAATTCGACGATAAAATCATAAGATACAAATTTAACTTCAATGCCCTTCTTCATACTTAGCGTACGAGGTTAAATCCAAATTCATCATCGTCCCAAACATATCATGATAAAGTGGATTTGATTGAAATTTACTCTCAAAAGTAAATTCAAGTGAGAGATCCCAATCACATATTTACGTCATAATAGTCCACTAAGACGGCGATGAAAGACAGATTCAACTTCTATTGAGAGTTTGACTCATTAGTGACGAGACAAAATGAGAGACAGGAAATCATATTGTTTCATCATTTCTGGAACCATCTTTGACCATGTAAGGATGGGAGAAGGAAATTACAATGTTGGACCTTGTCCACGCTTAGCCTTAGTGGAATCTCGGGCTCTTGCCTCCCGGTATCGGACTTGGACCGGACCCAAACTTCTAACTGTTTGGATCTCAACCCAGTATGATAAGTCTTTTTTTTTTTTTTTTTTTTAACAGCCTTTTCTATTTAAACCTTTTATTATGATTAAATTAAATTAAAAATAAAATAATGGCTCTGATTATTGGAATGAATCAAAGGACACTAGTTATCTATCTGACAAGATTCCATTCACTCACGCTACTGAAGCAAGAAAAAGAACAGTACAGATAAACCTTCGCTTCTTTAATTAGTCTCCAGGTGCATATTTATAATATGGCTCTTTGAAGATTCTTTTTTTCCATCAAATCTCTGAGCAAATGATATGGGAATGTGGCATTAGCCTCTAATTTAATTGATTTAACATTGATTCAGGAAAGTATATTCTCCATCTCCTATAGAAAGGTTCCTCACCATGCATGCGCTGCAATTTCTGACTACTTTGTGGATCCAATCCAAGCCTGCCTAGCCATCAGTTAATCATCATTGTTCTTAAATTTGATTAATTGTAGTTAAGTTTTAAAACCATCAATTATAAAGTGGTTACCAGATGAAAGAAAAACAGATAAACGAACCACTACTGGGCCTGATGATAAAAAAACAAAATGAGATTTTATAAGCTCTTGAGTTCGAATCCCTCAAACATTAATAGAGGTAACCATTGATGTTTTTATTAGACCGATTAGTTTGAGGGTCTCAAAGGAGTAATTGAGATACGTGTAAACTGGCTTAGATATTCCTAACGATTAAAAAAAACAAATAGATAAACTAATGAAGTGTTCCTATTGATATTTCGGCTAATAATAAAGCAACCAACCATGTATGACTTTGTAGTTTCAATATTTTATAAATCCAGGGAAGGTTTTTGGCAGCTTACCAAAGTTGAATAATTTTACACTTCTATTGAGCTGTTTACGAGTCATTCACAGACAAAACTTTTCAAAATCTCTCATTTGTGTGATGCATGCCAGCTCGGAGAGAAAGAGAGGAAGATATTAGGTTAGAAGATTTTAGGTTAAAACTTTAAAATATTATGGCGAATACTTAGTTTCTCATGCTTCACGTGGACTCCCACAAATCCATAGTCCCATAGGTCTTCGAAAGTGAACTGTATTTAAGAAGAAAAAAGAATGAGGATCATATTTAACACTAGAAAGTGTTGATTAATTTAAGTTGCATGGTTAGCTTTTAATGGAAAAAGGAATTACGATTAAGTGAAAAATAAATATAAGTATAACCCACATATGAATAGCCCAACAGTAAAGGTGAACCGGGGACTACAAATGGTTTCAAACCGCAGCTCCTAGTTTCCTCGTTGAATGTAAAGGTAACACTTTTATCCATGATTCATCTAGAGTGTTACAACGGTAGGTTGCTGGAGGTTAACTTTTTATTAAGAAATAGTTGAAATACGTATAAACTGTCCAAACACCTCCGTTAACAAAAATAAATAAATAAAAGAAAAGAAAAGAAAAATTCCTACGTTAGGTTTAGACTCCACTGGGTCAATCCACCCATATTGAAGGAATAGGTACTCAAAATCGGTGTGTTTGTTTTAGTATTTTTGATATTTTTAGAGTTGGGTGGGAATAACAATGTAGAATTTAAAAATTAACAAAAGACCCCCTAGATTTGTTAATTTACAAACACCCATGTAATGAAAATATTAAAAATTACAAAAACACCCCCACCCACCCATTAAATATCAGCAGCCGGCCACCACCACCGAAGGGTGGCCGAAGTTGTCGTATCGGCCCACGACCAGTTGGATCTGGCCGGTCGTGCATTGAGATGGCCTCTTTCAGCCAAATTCATCATAGATTTGGCCAAAAAATACCAGATCTGGCATGTTTGGTCGTCAACGATGGCCATATCTTGGTCGTCGTTGACGACCAGCTACAGCCAAAGAGACGACCAGATCTTTGGCCTTAGATTTGGCTGGAAAATGATAGATCGGCTCATTACCAGTAAGATCCAGCCGATAATGCACTATTATCCCATATTCCGGCCATCTTCCGGCGATGGTAACTGGAATCTGGCAAATATAGGTAGATGGGGGTATTTTTATTAATTTCTAAACCTTTTTTTGGAGGTTTTTGGTTAAATTAATAAATTTAGGGGGACTAAAAGTAATTGAATAAAAATATAATAGTATTTTCTTAATAATTAAATAAATAGTTATTTTGAGGATAGGATAGAAAATAGTAAACCAAACACTTGAATATCTTTACATATTTTTGGAATCAATCAATAAAAATGTGTCAAGGAACTGAGAATCACATCAAACTTTATGTGAATATGTTAATAATAATATAGATAATAAATAATACAACTTGTACATTGCCAGCGTATTCTTAATTCCTTATATTAATGAAAAAAAGGCTGTCACATGGCTAATGCAGCTGCAAATTGTACAGTACTTCTCAAGGCTTTAATTGTTTTTGTTGTTTTTCTCCAACTTTCCTGGCTGCCCTTGCACGAATTTTTCTCACATGGCTTCCTTTAATTCAAGAACCCATTATAGATTTATGGGGTCAACTCTTCAGCTTTCTGTTTGTTGGAAAAGAAAATAGAAAAATAGTTTAATGATGAGTGCTCCAATATTAAGCCTGGAGATCAAGAATATCACAAGAGAATTGATACAAGTACACCATTCGTTTAATTAATTAAAGTTCTCCTTTTTCTTTGGAATAAAATCCATAATAATTTTAATTAAATTAGCACAAGCGATCATCTATAGATACTTAAATTAGTGGGTGGCTACAGCTTACTGTTTAAGCAACGGCCCTTAATCCATCTCAAGGATTCCTATTCAAATCTTTATTTTTTATTTTTTTTGGTATTTCAGAATATTCAGACCAATTTATGCGTACCTCAACGAATCATTCAAGGACCTGAAAACCTTTTAAATAATAAACAATCTCCAAACTACTAGATACATATTCGTATTAAAATCTTTGAAAACTATATATAAATGATGAGATAACTGTCAACTAATTAAGCTTAAAATAATTAATTAATTAAGTATGAAAAGCCTTTGCCATTAGGCAGTCAAAGAGGTGATCTGGTTGTCCAATCCAATGTGTCTCTTTCATTGACATTAAAATGGCATCTTCAAGGTTTAGTTTAATCCTCATTTAGAGCCTTGGAAAGGGAATTTAACTGAACTACAATTAATAAGAAATTTTTATTACAAACCAACACAATTTCTTGATGTGGTGACTCCACCATCTACAACAAGATTATGGCCGCTTACATATTTTGATTCATCGCTCGCCAAATAAAGAGCAGCCTCTGCAATATCTTTACCTCTTAGAGTTGAACCTTTTAAATTTCCAAGTCCATTCACAAAATCTTCGATTTTATTCACTTCTTGTTTACTAGGAATTCCGAAATTCATGCAATCATCTTCTTCTTCATCATCAACTGTCCTCCAAGCATTAACGAGCATAGAAGTCGCAACACCAAATGGGGAAATACAGTTAACCCGAATCCCATATCGTCCAAGCTCGCACGCCGTGTTCTTTGTGAGCCCAACAATGGCGTGTTTTGAAGCTGTATAAGCATGTGGACCGAGCCCTCCCATGACTCCAGCTACACTTGCAGTCGAAATTATGCATCCGCCTCCTCTGGGAATCATGACTCGAGCCGCGTGTTTAATTCCAAGAGCGGTTCCTTTGACATTCACACGCATGACTCGATCGAATTCATCTGGGTCGAAATTGATAATGCTCTTGTTCTTGTACTGGTTTCCAAGCACCCCGGCATTGTTGAAAAGAATATCAAGGCGTCCGTAACGAGAGATTGTTGAGTTTATTAAATTCTCCATGTCGTCTTCTGAGCTAACATCACAGTGAACAAAGCTAGCTGAAGGAGATAATGTATCAGCAAGTAAATTTCCAAGTTTGTCTTCAACATCGGCAATGACTACTTTGGCTCCATGTCTCGAGAATAGTCTCACTGTTGCTTCTCCGATGCCTCTAGCACCGCCTGTGATAATTGCAACTTTGCCCTCCAACCTGGAAAATAGCAACAAAAGTTCATCAATCTCAACGCTCAAGATAGAAAAGGCCAATGTATCATTAATTTTATAATGTACTATTACAGCCCCTTTCCATTAAAGAAAACTATTGCACATTGGAATATGCTCATTTGATGATGGAGTTTCCGATGAAATCTTCTACTTATATTTGTTTTTAAAACGAAAAAACTAGAGAAATTGAGAAATGTTAAGGAAGAGATACCTTTTATGAGAGATTGGAGGACTGTCTTCCCAACCCATAACATGAATGGCCTGAAGGGTTGGCTCGGGCATCACTTGAGCAGGCATGGTTTAAGTTTAGCAACAAAAAGAGGTAGAGAAAGAGAGAGAGAAGCTAAGAAAGATTGGTTTAGATCAAGAGAATATAGAGAAGGGTATTTATAGGCAGAGAGTCACAAAGGTTTATGTTAATGGTAGTGGGTTTGGTTACGTGAGTGAGCTGTTCTCTATCAAAGGGTAACTTCCTAAGAAATGTCCATTACATCAAGCCTCTCGCTTGTCCCTCAAGTTCATGTTTCCATCTTCCCCATCTCCATCTACCAAAACGCCCATTAATTAAATGGTTTTCATCAACCTACTTGTTTGACCAAAACTATCCCCTCCATAGTTTCAACTTTCAAGCTAGCAGCTACTGCTGGGCGATGTAATTAATTGCATCATGATAGTCAAATCTTGGATTAAATTAAACTATAATAACTTCATTATTTATAATTAATGTGATATGCACTATATTTATTAAAGATCAAGCTAGGTCAATATTGAATATTCACAACAATCATTAGATGATCGAGCGGTCAACTAGAATTCTTAGATATATTATTCAAAATATCTTGAATTTGATCCACCTCGACGCTTAATAGGGATGGCTATTGAAGGTTTACTCTATCGTTAACTTCAGAACTCCAAAAAATTAATTGAAATGCTTGTAAACTGGTCCAGATACCCTCAATTACCAATACATATTCACTGCCGATTCCTTTTATATGGTACAAGTATTACAGAACATCTAAGTGGCCTCCATTAAGATCCTTTTGAAATTATATACTCTAGCCATAACCACTGAAACTATAACCTGCTAAGCAGAAATGCCAAGGTATATTATTCGCCGGCCAGACATATGACACTGGTGTGAACATCCAGGACACTTATAAAAAATTTGCTGATCTCTTAGTAAATGAATATATATTTTGTGCCCACCTTTGAGTTCACACAAAGAAAAATTACAAGCTTTTAAGTAGAGAGTTTCACAAAAGGAAGCTTTAAATTGGAGCCAGCTAGAGGCAGATTTTGGTGTATCCAAAATTATATGACATCGAAGCTAGATATTAAGATATATTTCTGGAACAAACAACGAGGATCTAGCCTTCTATAGCCTGTGTTTTTCCAACTAGATTGTGTACAACTATAATATTGTATGCTGTTACTTCTGCCAAAAGCTAGAGATTTGCCCAGACTGGAGCTGGATCTCTGAGGGTTTGACGAAGGATTTGGGTACTTGTTTTTCACCTAATTCAACTGTTTCTGCCTCAAATCCAAGATAGATAATCTCTGGATTTGTTTAATATCCCAGAAAACTATACCACATGGCCTTGCATGATCCTTTTTCAGTTAAATGTATAAATTAATTACACATACTTGCAATTTATAAAATGGGAAAAAATGTACAAAATTATTGTAGGAACTGAAATAAAATAATCAAATACACAAACACAAATAATTTACAAATTCCTCTCTTCCAAGTTTCCTGTAACACGATCACTTTTCTCTGTTTGAGTTCTTCACGTATCTTCTGTAATCTCTAATAGTGTCAATGAAATCCCAAGTCAAAATTCACCTAAAACTTTAATCAATTCTCAACACAAAAGGCCTTTGTCTATCAAAATCAGAGTGACAGAATATAGAGCAAAAAACAGTGTATCTATGGATGTATATTCAAGCCCCAGTTCCAAATTAAAATATAAAGAGTATTAACTGTTTGTAACTGTTATAATCTTCAATGCTTTTATTCCTCTTGAAATTGAGTACTGTATACTTAGTTTTTCCCAGGAAGTAAGGATATAAATAGAGACAATATTAACTATCTCTAAGTAGTTTGGCGATTCACTTAGAGCTTTTGGATGTATTATTCAAAAAGTGTTGAGTTCGGATCCTCATTATTATTAATAAGGGATAGTTATTGAAGACTTATCTGATCTTTAACTTCAGGATCCAAGAGACTAGTTGAGATACAAGTAAATTGATCTGAATATTCCTGGATACCAAAAAAAAATAATAATATATACCGACAATATTTGTGCATAGTGACGGGCAAACTAATCGCTTTGAACACGCAACAAAAAATAGGACCAAATCAGGACAAATATTAGAATATAGCTTTTATTCAATGTATTTTTGTATCTAATTGTAAAGAACAAATTAAAGATGGAGTCAGTTGTAGCAGCAGACTCAACCCAACGGAGACTCTTCATTTTCTTCTAGTTAATTGTTTCTACCCAAACCTTCATACTACAAGAATCTGGGAATTGGGAAATGTATTTGACCAAAACAGTACTGGTTATATATTTCTACTTACTTTAATGTGATCTCCATCGAATTTAAAGCTGATTTCGATGTATAGCTAATCATCGAAAGCAGCAGCCTCAAGTTCTTGACCAAAATCTCCTACCTATCTCGTTCAAATTACTTCTAACTTTCCAAGGGAAAAATCAATTCAAAAGTAGAAAAGTCAGGTCAATTTTTACTTGTCAACTGCATTTTTTTTCTTTCTTCATTTCCACTCAATCATTTTTCCTCGTCTTTTGCATATTTAATAGCCATTGATTTATACAAACGATACAATGTCCCATATCCCAGAATATCTTATTGTCTGTCGAAGCCAGACTGGCTACCACGAAAGAGTCACCTATTTCTTGCATATCTTTCGTCGAACCCCACAGCCAGGTCAACAAACTCAAGTCCAAAAGGTCAAGGATTTGATCTGATCAGCTGTCGTACATTGAAATCAGAGTCTTGGGTGGTGATGATCCGGTCGTTGATTAATATTAAGATAATGCAGATTATATTATCTACTAGCGAGTTATGATCGACGAAGACAATTTGATTATATATAATTGAACCCTCTGTGTTTTCTTATTGCATGTTGGAATAATGAATAAGCAACTTGAAGAGTTGTTCATGTAAGGGACCATGCATAAATGGAAAATTCCCAATCTCTTTATCATGCTTTGAAGATAATTGGTCTTAATCATGCAATTGTTTATCTTAATTTAAGCACTGCCCCAGATATAATAATATTTCCAGAAAACGAGAAAGGAGGAAATTAAATTTGTAACTAATCTTGATGGGGTTTGTCTTATTAATTTTTTTAAATATTTTTCTTCAGTGAAACCACTGTTTAGTGACCAAATGGGGCTTTATTAAGCTATAATTATGGATCCATTACTCTTTTTTTTTTTTTTTTTTTTTTGGGATGATTGAGGTGTTTGCGTCCAGTTTACACGCATCTCAATTAATCCTCTGAAACTTTAGAACTACCAGTTAAGTAAGAGTTTCAATAATTACTTTATTAGTAACCAATGAGAGACTCAAACTCAAGATCTCTTAAGTAATTTATCCATAAGTCCTTATCGACCATCCGTGGTTATGGGCCCATTACTCCACTAGAAGCTATACCAAAAATCCTCTAAATGATAAGAATACTTTTTACTTATCAATAAGTAAATTAAACTGTTTGTTTTCTTTACCTTTTTGCTTATTTTGGGTTGATGTTGGATTATCTCTCTGATGGTAAGCAAAAAGTAGAGTGAAATAATTGAACACTTTTTTTGTAGAGATTTGTTTTTTTTTGTGGTCCAAGTTTGTCACCCTAGAAATGTCTGTTTGTTAGAAATTGTATTTGCCTCACATGTTAAATTCCTGGAGTTTTATCGAGTGTATTGTTAGTGAACTTTCTTCCCTTAAGCTAGCCTTTTGTGGAGAGTTTAACACAACTCTGTTTATCATGATCTAGACCACTAGGTTTTGACACCTTATTGTCCTTGATTCGCTAGCTGTTTTTCTTTACCTAAACGGGCTCACACCGCAATCTTAACAAAAACGCATCCTCTCCAACGCTTTACATGATAGCTTCTCGTTTTTTTGTCAATGATTTTAAATTCTTGAATTCATCAGAAACGGAGCTACCACCTAGAATTGTGAGGAGAGTTGGTGAGATGGGTTGTAAATTAAATTTCATTTTTTTTTATTAATTAATTATATATAGATATTTGGTGGGCACATGTAAATTGATGCAGCAGTGCACTAATACTTAAAGCAGAAAGCCTTAAGTGTATGGTGGGCAAATAAAACAACTGCCTCTCTTACTTTTTTGTAATTGGAGCATAATCAAGTGCGTGAATCTGATCATAGATATAATTAATGAAAATATCTTTTTTTTAAAAATTAACAATTTAACATTTTGTAATCAAACTTTTTTTCATTTTTTTAGATTATCGAACTGATTTGGGATATTCAATTGAATTTCTCTGCTTTTTTTTTTAGTGGAATCTCTTTTTCTTAACATTCGAGTATGAAACCTGTTGAATTGGCCATCATGGCCCCAAATTTCCTGGTCTGAAGCTCGATTAAGCTTTAGGGCTTTGAGATGGATCAAGGCCCATACTTTAATACATGCTCAACAGCATCGATGGAGCCACGGAGAGATGGTTTCTATGCAAATCCTTGGACCCATTTTGTATTTTTTTTTTTGGGTAATCGGGAGTGTCCGACCAGCTTGTGCACACTTCACTAGTCTTTTAGGATCCTAAGTTACAACTAGGTAATTCCAGTCTCCATCCTATAACAATGAACGGAATTGATTTATGACCTTGTAATAATACATTCAAGATCTCTATCTCATCCGACCAGTCATTGCAAATAGTGCTATATTAAAGTCTTCACTGATGAAACGTTGCTAGTTTCAGGCAAAAAAAAAACAAAAAGGAATTATATGCTAAAATTATGGCCATAATTGGTCTTCATTCTGTTTGCTTATGGAGCTTTTATGGTCTTAAAGATAAGGATGGTAATCCTATTAGCGTCCAAGATTAGTCCAATTTGATATATTAAATGACATCTTATAAACAATTAATGAAGCCACCTACTTGTGCGGTACATTTTGAAATCACCGCAAAGGTTTTATCGGAGTTGGAATATGAGCCTGGTCTGCCCTAAACTTGGCAATTTCCCATCAGGGGCAGGCCTTGACCCAGTCAGAGTGAATAAGTTTTGGGCTACAATTTCTTAGAATTAAATTACAATACTAAATGCAATCCCTGGTTCAGTTTTATAAATTGCAGTGAATGACAATTTCCCACCCAAGGTTTTC